AACATTCCATCTCGTTGGGTGTTGTGATCTCACCGACTGTAAGACTCTTTAAAATGTAAGCGGAATTCTATGCCAAACAGCATATATGGAAAGGTCCTATACAAGCAACTGAGGATAAAACCGATTTCTATTGTCTCTCTAGAACAACAAATTTGAAATAGGACAAAACAGTTTCATGAACTAAAATTAAGAGCATCCAATAGATGATCACATCATACATGCATGTTGATTGTTGTGCAGGCGATATTTAACGTGGGAAACAACCAATCGGATCCTACAAAGTTCGATTCCGGTGTGGGATTCACACCCATCATCGATTTCCAAGATGCATCGATAAAATGGCGTTCAACTTACAGGATAAACGGGTTTATTCAACTGACGTTAAACACAAAATGCAATTTCAATAAAGCTCGAAAAATCACATGCACTCACTTTCTATTGTCAAACCACTTGATGTACCGAAGTATATTTGATCTGAACCATTGGCAACTATTTCTGCTATGTATTCCACAACCGCATTGCGAACAGTGTTTACTGTCACTTCAGTTGATGAAAAGTTCTCACTAGTGCTACTGTAATCAATGACTAACACTACATTTCCAATAACTGATCCACGTGAGAAGCCAACAACTGTGCAAGTGACATTGATTATTCCCTTGATGTAAGTTGAATGGGTGCTGTGCAAAAGCTTGGAGATTTTGTGAGAAGAAAATGGTGCGTGTTATAACGGGACGAATATTGCAAAAGTTGGAACATTCGAAAATGGTTTTCGAATTGTTATCATGATTATTATTATTGTCATTATTATTTTTATCGTTATTACTATTATTATTTCTATCAATATTATCTTTATTATTCTCGTCATTTCTTCTTTTTGTTGTATAATTAGTACGTAACTGGATTGCTGTGTCTATATAATAAGTTAGCCACAAGCGTTTGGTTAACCTGTTAACCACTGATAGACAACTCACCACTCCCAGTTTGTTACCAGTCTACTACATACGGCTCGCTCTATTCCCAAACACCTTCGGCTTGTCTATGTATAGTTGTGATTTTTCACTCATTGGTGTGATGTGGTCCAGCATGTTTGTATATAAACCCACGTATGCTTGAATGATAGAGGCTGTCTGTTGACTTCTCTCTCTGACTCAAGGTAGAGTGTAATGAAGGGCTTACGAATAGCGGAAAAATAGAAGCCTGGCTTGCATCGCCTCAAGGTTAACGGTAAGGGTCAGACATGTGGTCGGTCATTGATCGGACACTGAGTCATCGAGAAAATATTATACACGGAATTGAAAAGAAATTAGAGTTAGAATTCCGATTGGTAATCTTATCACGTGATATCAATCAGCATCTCAAGCCACAGAAGTGTGAGCTCTAGTTTTTCAATAAAATAGTCAGCAATGAATAAAGACATGATTTAGTCGCAGTTGTCAGTTGACGCGACATTACAATTTATAGCATCAGCAAACGGTGTTACATTGCCACTTGGCTCAGTGAGGCTACCTCGTGGTGTATGCATGTGAGGCTAGACAAAAATAGCTCGCTGGCATAAGGCGTTGTTGTATGAATGTCAAGGAAGTAGTTTGGTGGAGTTTTGTAACACAATATTTCGATTTTCGGTCACACTTAACTTCCTAGTCTAGAGATCCTGATCGATGCTGACAAACAGCGTTATGCAGCATCATGCAACACGTGTTGAAACTGGTTCTACCTCTTGCTCTTTTGTATGAATCGTTGAGTCTCGTCCTAAATGTCTCCGAACACTATTACGACAGTGGTGATCTGTGACTGGCTACATTTAGAAAAGTATGTGCTGACATAGTCATTCCAAGTGGTTAAACTACTGCCCTCTACTCGACACAGAAGGTTTACGTTTACATGGTAGGAGAACACGTTTGTTCTCTGATGTGAACAGAGAAACAAGAAACCTTGACAAACTACGGAAGCTATTGTTGGGGACGTTATTCCATTTAATTCAAAGCTTGCATAACAGTAAAATTTACTTTTGGCCTTAGTCTATTCTACAGATCATAAGCTTTCGTTTGATGTATGATTCACTGCCATAGCCTTTGCTGTTCCAAAGCTATTGTAATTTAGACGTAACCTTCTGTACTCTATTTTCTACTCTAATCCCCCAGTTTTGGACATAATATCATTTTCCTAATTATTTTGCGTTGTGGTCGGGTTAGTCATCTATATATTCATGTATCTTTCTACGCTAATCTAAAATCGGGTACCAGATCAGAATGTGGTATAAAGCGAGTAGTGTTCCAGTTGTCTTGTCTTCTCCCTCGCGCTTGCCTGTCAGCCAATCAGGTGATAGAATAGTTTTCGTCTCTCTACCCCGCTTCGAACTCACGCATACTAGCCTCAAGGTTAAGCCAGTCAGCCTATCGCGTCAAGGTCTGAATTTATATTAGATAAGTTATCCTCGGCACGATAGTGGTTAGACAGATCAGTTTTCCTCATTTTCATGTTAACTCAATTGAGAATTAGGTAACAAACTTACCAGGTCACAAATTTGAGTTGAATAATCTCGATATAAATCGGAATTGGGATCCAATAAACTGTCATTCCACTCCAAAGGCTTGTTCAATCTAGTCAGCGTTGATGAGACTGCTACAAAAGAATTCAAATAGTTTCCGACAAGTCAGAGTTCATTGATTTAAATACGACTTCTCAGTGAAAGGAGAATATTCAGTTGACTTACTGCTTCAAAACGAAACAAAACTGAACGAACTCTCTTCAACTCCACACTACGAATCCAAGTGTATTTGAGTATGATCTACCAAAGTGATAGACACTATGAAATAGATGGTTGTTCGATTTCCCACATCCATGTACACTGAATGCTATGTGTTCTTGGTTTGTTATGAAAATAAGCAATTCTACATCGAATGTTTATGTCTACCCACACACATTTGTTAGTGAGTGTGACAATATTGTGAGTGGAGTGACGCTCAGCAAACGAACATAGCGTGACTTCCACAGTTGCAGTAAATATCACTACTTGTTAGCTTCTATACGAATACAATGAGATTGTTCCATTTAGAAAGATAGTGAATCATTCCGGTTTAACAGAGATGGTGGTCTGGTCAATGCGACCTGACGACCCTGAACAACTCAACAATAAATACTGGTTGACAAATAATTTCAATATATCAGCGTACTATTTGTGACATCTCTTCGCTACACTGAATTTTCAAGAGGAACAAGAGGAACAGCCAACCATTTGTGCAACACAATTGTGACCACCTTACTGATGAATGAAATAGAAAACCGAATTAAAACAACCAATAAAGAAAATAATTTTTGTGATAAAACAAACTGCTTTATCAGGTTTTGACTTACTGATTATTGCCGTTTTCGTGAGGCTGACTTCTAGAAAACATTTAAATAGATAACGAAGAAAACGTTGATTAAAATAACACATGGAGTTTAGTGACATGCAACACAGATGGACAAGCATAAACACAAACACAAAACATAGGAGAAAAGCAACTTGAATTTAACTAAGCATACAAATGATGAAAACGTGAATTCAAGAGCAAACAATTTGGAGTGAGTATAAGGTTAAATCACTAAATACATCAATCCAGTCACTTCACATAATCTATTGCTCACATCAGTTCTGTTTCTAAAGATTTCCAATTTCTAATTGCTTCTGTAGATTCGCCTTTGAATTCAACATATTTCTATATACGACCTAAATTAAACGTATCTCATCAGCCAGTTTGTCATCACATCAATACATCTCTTCATTATCATAAGATAGTGTAATAAACTGGATGAAACCACGTTGTCAATCAATCTTCATTAACCAAAAACTTACAGCAAATGTGTCTCGTCATAATTTGCAATATGATATTAGTACGACCAGATATATTGAAGTATTTGTTATCCGACATCAATCAAAATAGACAAGTGATTTAGTTAATGATAAAAACTCAAGTAAACTACATAAAATTTTCGAAACTATTACGGAGTGTGGAATCACTTACTGCTAGACAAAAATAAATTTGTATTACCTATGTCTGATTATTCTGATGACTGAAACTCATTAACAGTTAGACGAAGAATGTATTGAACTGAGCTATGAAATAAAACATGCCATTTTGTGAACTAGTGTCCATTGAAAAAATTATCGAGAATAACTTTTCATACACCTTAAGTTTAGAAGTATTTTGTTGTTTTATGTTTTAACATTTTACCACACTCCTCTTTCAATAACAAAGTTTAAATCAAATGAACAAATGGAAAGTATACACAATTTCTATAAAGCTATGTTGAAAGTATTATGTAAAATATGACAAGTATGATTTATACTCCATATTCATTTCTCCATTTTACAGATCATATTTTAACGTCTCATATTGTCTGATTTTCATTTCTTCATGATTAGTTTGTTAGGAAAACTTCAGTCTGACCTGCACGAATAAATCTTCACAAATTGGTAACATAAGGCGAAGGTTTCACTTAATTTGACAGAGTTAAACGTGCGATCTCACACGATAGAATTCAGGTTAGCTCCAAAACTTGAGTAATTATTTTGAGGAACTTTTTCCTTAAACACCTGATTATTTCTAGAATATAATAACTAATGATTAATATACTTTTCCAGTTGCTGACTTCATACTGAATATAAAAGTTCTGAGGTATGAGGAGAAGAAATGTTTCACAAAGTACTTGACAAACTTCAGACTTAATGAAATCCAGAAACTTTCTGCCTCGATATAATAACTAGATCAATTTAATAAATGAGAATAACACTAATTTGAAATTCACAAGTTCTGGTTATTCACTGAAAGAATGTAGGTTCCATTAATAAAGCAACATGACATATTGGTTGTAAAATATTAGGCGACATATTCAGTATGAGATTAACTAGCAAACTCAAAAAAACTATCGAGAACTGTATAAATGATGAAAGTGAAGTGAAAATATATTCACTCAGAATAAAAAGGAGATTTAGACTAAGAACCAGAGTAGCAAAAGTATTAAACATCACCTGAATCATATAGAAAAATACCGCCTGAAAAATAAAAAAATAAGATAATGGAAAACGGTCTAGCAATGACGATCGCAGAGATAAACGTCATACTAGAAGCTCTTTAAGAATAAGATAGGAAGAAAGAGAGCTCGAACATGAGGAATAGCCAACCGGTGAGACATCAAAATAAAGCGACGAGAAAACATCAGTGTCAATAGATGAATACGCATCAAATCCCATGAAGGGAAACATAAATTGAGTCAGTATAATAAAATATATGCATTGTAGACGTGAGCGTACACACAAAACCAGACGGGACAACAATTGACAGAATACTCGGAATATGTTGATCAGCGATAAAGATTATCTCCTTTGATACTGTGGATCCAATGAAATGTGTGGTCAATGTGACTGCACTGGTCAGAGCAATATCGGTCGTGCTGACATGCGTTGACATTATGGGTGTGGATTGTCCAGTGCTGGTGCTAGCCACACCGCTTGTTTTGTTGATGTCATTAATGATGAGGCTGTTGGCCAGGTGCCGACCATAGGTGTGGAAATAGAGGTTGTTGTGTAGATCGTTGTCGAGTGGGTGTGGTGAGGCTCAGTTTATGTAGATTATTTCTTTATATTTGTTAGTTGTTTTTGTTCTTAGATGAACTTTGAATCAATGTAATAACTATTTAGTACATCATCCAACATTATATAAATATATATATATATATGGCTTTCATACAGAACTTAGTTTTTCACTGTTTGAATGAGTCTTTTCATGATAACAAGTGTTAGAAATAGTCATGAAATCACAAGAAACTCATATCTGATAAGTTGAGTATGTTTCATATAAAGTTACAGGATATGTGTTTGACATAGGTTTTCTCCTGGTAAAAAGTGACTGTCTTTTCAAATGTTCGGTGGCAGTGAAAAGTGTAATCCAGAAGTATTATGTTTTATTTAAATTGTTATTGACAATAGACAAGAATAATGAGTTATCACAGTTAGCGGATTATTTGATTCAAAATTATGTACAGTATATTGTCAGTCAAGTGAAGAGCTTTATCACACATACTACTTAAGACATATCCATAACCGTATTTATTATTTAACGAAAAACTAAACAAACTATTTCATTAATTAGTCAACAGAGACTTCAAAAATGTATACTGGGTTCTGATATATGTAAATATTACTGATTCCATTCATTCCATACGACATGTGTTTGTTTGACTGAACACAAATTCTAACATTTTCTGTTCCACATAACCCAACTCAACATTTAATTCTCATCTCGATGTCAGTTAAAAATAAAATAATGAAGTGAATTAGATGGTAAGATTGCTTATTATGAACTGAATATCTTTCTGCAAATAAAGCTCAAAGTGCTTATAAGCCTTTGCGAAGAAAACACTACTGTAGATATTTGATTGCAGCACAGCATTAGGATAAGTGGTCTTGTCAATAAAATCAGAAATGAGTTTTTAAGAAAATAGTTGATAATGCAATTTCCCATTTGCAAATAATCAGTATGGTGACTGAGTCTTCTCAACAAGTAAGAGAGGAAGTTGAAATACCGAATTTATACAAACGAGGTCGCAAAATTTAATAAAGTGGCGAAAAATAGAAAGGGGAAAATGGTTTTGTAAAGAATGAAGACATTGGATTATGCAGAAGATAGAATAAGGTAGGTGGGGGAAAGAAGAAAATACACCGAAAAAAACAAAAACCAAATAATACTGCGAATAAAAAATGATTTAAGAGAAAAAAAAGAAACCAGCAACAAGGGAAAATCAGGCGACACATAATAAAAGCGAAAAAATAACAGAAAAACAGAAGAGCAGAGCGGATTGCATGCGCTTCAAAAGACGAAAAATATTAAAAGCATTTTGCTCAAATAACTCAAACCCATCTCACACAAACACTGTCTACATTGCATACACACAATCAACTAACTAACCAACTTACTAACTAACTAACATACTCACCTGTTGTCCTCTCCGTCTCCATCACCTCAGTCTCCGTAATGTCGGTCTCCGTAATATCGATCTCCGTCGTCACTTCCGTCGTGTCAGTAGTCTCCTCACCTACAATCCACCAAATTCAACATCAATAATTATTCAATTATTACACCACTCAACCAGTCATCCAATCTCTCCATCTCTCTAGCTCTCTCTCATGCATTCTCTCCATCAACAAATCAATCCAGTCGACGAACTAATTACTCAACTCATTCACTCAACACACAAACCAATTCGCTCACATCCACAAATACACACAAACACACACACACGCACACCACATCCTAATACCTCCCAGACACATCAGACTGCTACACACACCAACAAAACAACCTCAATCAATACTCTTCACATTAACACATCACATCACATCTCAACACAACTCTACACAATTCAGTACTCTCCCAATTACTCACTCAATCACCCACTCCTTAAACCTATCAATTAATCAGTCAATCAATCAAACAATCAATCATTCACACACTCACACACACACACACATACAAACGTTCATTGGTGCAGTGAAGTGAAGACCACATTGTGTGCGTGTGAGTCTGATTTTGTTGTTGAGTGTGTGATTGATTGATTGATGAGTGAGTGAGTGAGTGAGTGAGTGAATGAGTGAGGGAGTGAGTGAGTGAGTGAGTGAGTGAGTGAGTGAGTGAGTGAGTGAGTGAGTGAGTGAGTGAGTGAGTAGGTGTGCGAAGCAATGTGGAGAATAGAATTGACCGAATCACCTCACTGTGTGTAGCACCAATCCACCACATGCTCACAGAACACACAACACTCACACCACAATCACAATTCACTCACACAGTGTGTGAGCTCACTGAGATATGACAGGAAGATGTGAGCACCAGCACAATTCATTCAATGATCGTCTCAATCCAATCACTTCATCAAACAACATGCACACTCTATCTATTGCTCACATCCAGTACACTCATCCAACCCACACTCTACACACTCACATTCAACCTGTTCAATTCTTACACACACACAACGCACACACGCGCACACATGACACTCACAATCACACAATGTCACATCCATCCACTCATGTGCACGACATGCAATTCACCAAATCACAACTAGTATCAGTCCTCTGCTCAACTAACTCAAACCCATCTCACACAAACACTGTCTACATTGCATACACACAATCAACTAACTAACCAACTTACTAACTAACTATCTAACTAACTAACATACTCACCTGTTGTCCTCTCCGTCTCCATCACCTCAGTCTCCGTAATGTCGGTCTCCGTAATATCGATCTCCGTCGTCACTTCCGTCGTGTCAGTAGTCTCCTCACCTACAATCCACCAAATTCAACATCAATAATTATTCAATTATTACACCACTCAACCAGTCATCCAATCTCTCCATCTCTCTAGCTCTCTCTCATGCATTCTCTCCATCAACAAATCAATCCAGTCGACGAATTAATTACTCAACTCATTCACTCAACACACAAACCAATTCGCTCACATCCACAAATACACACAAACACACACACACGCACACCACATCCTAATACCTCCAAGACACATCAGACTGCTACACACATCAACAAAACAACCTCAATCAATACTCTTCACATTAACACATCACATCACATCTCAACACAACTCTACACAATTCAGCACTCTCCCAATCACTCACTCAATCACCCACTCCTTAAACCTATCAATCAATCAGTCAATCAATCAAACAATCAATCATTCACACACTCACTGACACACACATACACACGTTCATTGGTGCAGTGAAGTGAAGACCACATTGTGTGCGTGTGAGTCTGATTTCGTTGTTGAGTGTGTGATTGATTGATTGATGAGTGAGTGAGTGAGTGAGTGAGAGAGTGAGTGAGTGAGTGAGTGAGTGAGTGAGTGAGTGAGTGAGTGAGTGAGTAGGTGTGCGAAGCAATGTGGAGAATAGAATTGACCGAATCACCTCACTGTGTGTAGCACCAATCCACCACATGCTCACAGAACACACAACACTCACACCACAATCACAATTCACTCACACAGTGTGTGAGCTCACTCAGATATGACAGGAAGATGTGAGCACCAGCACAATTCATTCAATGATCGTCTCAATCCAATCACTTCATCAAACAACATGCACACTCTATCTATTGCTCACATCCAGTACACTCATCCAACCCACACTCTACACACTCACATTCAACCTGTTCAATTCTTACACACACACACACACACGCACGCGCACACACACATGACACTCACAATCACACAATGTCACATCCATCCACTCATGTGCACGACATGCAATTCACCAAATCACAACTAGTATCAGTCCTCTGCTCAACTAACTCAAACCCATCTCACACAAACACTGTCTACATTGCATACACACAATCAACTAACTAACCAACTTACTAACTAACTAACATACTCACCTGTTGTCCTCTCCGTCTCCATCACCTCAGTCTCCGTAATGTCGGTCTCCGTAATATCGATCTCCGTCGTCACTTCCGTCGTGTCAGTAGTCTCCTCACCTACAATCCACCAAATTCAACATCAATAATTATTCAATTATTACACCACTCAACCAGTCATCCAATCTCTCCATCTCTCTAGCTCTCTCTCATGCATTCTCTCCATCAACAAATCAATCCAGTCGACGAACTAATTACTCAACTCATTCACTCAACACACAAACCAATTCGCTCACATCCACAAATACACACAAACACACACACACGCACACCACATCCTAATACCTCCCAGACACATCAGACTGCTACACACACCAACAAAACAACCTCAATCAATACTCTTCACATTAACACATCACATCACATCTCAACACAACTCTACACAATTCAGCACTCTCCCAATCACTCACTCAATCACCCACTCCTTAAACCTATCAATCAATCAGTCAATCAATCAAACAATCAATCATTCACACACTCACTGACACACACATACTCACGTTCATTGGTGCAGTGAAGTGAAGACCACATTGTGTGCGTGTGAGTCTGATTTCGTTGTTGAGTGTGTGATTGATTGATTGATGAGTGAGTGAGTGAGTGAGTGAGTGAGTGAGTGAGTGAGTGAGTGAGTGAGTAGGTGTGCGAAGCAATGTGGAGAATAGAATTGACCGAATCACCTCACTGTGTGTAGCACCAATCCACCACATGCTCACAGAACACACAACACTCACACCACAATCACAATTCACTCACACAGTGTGTGAGCTCACTGAGATATGACAGGAAGATGTGAGCACTAGCACAATTCATTCAATGATCGTCTCAATCCAATCACTTCATCAAACAACATGCACACTCTATCTATTGCTCACATCCAGTACACTCATCCAACCCACACTCTACACACTCACATTCAACCTGTTCAATTCTTACACACACACACGCGCGCGCACGCGCACACACACATGACACTCACAATCACACAATGTCACATCCATCCACTCATGTGCACGACATGCAATTCACCAAATCACAACTAGTATCAGTCCTCTGCTCAACTAACTCAAACCCATCTCACACAAACACTGTCTACATTGCATACACACAATCAACTAACTAACCAACTTACTAACTAACTATCTAACTAACTAACATACTCACCTGTTGTCCTCTCCGTCTCCATCACCTCAGTCTCCGTAATGTCGGTCTCCGTAATATCGATCTCCGTCGTCACTTCCGTCGTGTCAGTAGTCTCCTCACCTACAATCCACCAAATTCAACACCAATAATTATTCAATTATTTCACCACTCAAGTAATCATCAAACCCATCTTCGTTTCGTTTTCCTACTCTTTCTATTTGTCAAACTCCTTCATTTAATTTCTATTTTTTTAATTATTCTTTGTTTCTAGTTTCTACATTATGTGTCTTTACTGTCCTGTTTTTTGAATTTCGCAATCGGTTTCGTTTATTTCCCTTCTTTATTATGTCGTTCATTGTTTCTTAATTTCTAGTGTTTTTGATATAGTGGCTTTCTTATGTTTGTTCCGATTTCTTTGCATTTTCAATATAGTTCAACGATTTTTCAAACTTCATTTTTTGTCGATGTTTCTACCGGAAGTTTCTTCCTTGCATGTACATCACATGGTCACATTTTCTTTTTTGACTGATGTTTCGTCAGTTCATTGATTGTTCTACCATTTACTATTTGTGTTTATTTGAAGCAATCTCCTTGTACTTTCGACATGAAAGCAGATGATGTGGAACTCGAACTTCATTATGGATGATTCTCTATTTTATTGACCGAAATATCGTTTTCTACTTGAAGTAATTTAGCGTTTGTTAATTTTTTCTACTTGTAGCTTAACTCTCTGTTTTCATTACGTGTTTTCATACACACACATCATCTGAATTCGTCTTTAATATAACCATTCGATTAATCAATCGTTCATATCTAGCTTTCGAAATGTACTATCTTATAGACAGATATTCTAATCGCTCGTAACATCTTTAATTTTGTGTCATATTGGGGCCTTACAAATACTCCAAACATTTCTGCATTACCGCGAATACTCACATATAATATTTTGGATGTTTCTAACTGATTTATTGTCACTCCATATTCTTTTATCTGAGGAAGATTACTGCAATGATACTGCAGTCAAAACTACTGGTTGAAGAATCAATTCACGAAAGTGAATATTCAGAGTATTTTACTCGTACAGTTCGCAATCTTAAGACATAGGTTCTCACGTATATTATCGACTGAGTCAAAACATATTGCAAACCACTTACTTACCCGTAGTCTTGTAAGCTTCGGTATCCTGAGATTCAGTGATCATCTCGGTGGTTGCCGCATCGATTACAGCTGAAAATACAAAGAGAAACGTGTACCTATTCACGTCACAAAATACTGCGTATACATGATAATTAATTCTGATTACGATCAGCTGCTAGCCATAGCAGGCAACTAGATATTGGACAGTAAATGAAGTCGAGAAAATTTCGCTGTAGATGGTTGGCAAGTGGTGGAATTCTGTTTCAAACTTGGCAACAATCCCATTTCCTCGTTGATCGAACGCTGAACATTCCATCTCGTTGGGTGTTGTGATCTCACCGACTGTAAGACTCTTTAAAATGTAAGCGGAATTCTATGCCAAACAGCATATATGGAAAGGTCCTATACAAGCAACTGAGGATAAAACCGATTTCTATTGTCTCTCTAGAACAACAAATTTGAAATAGGACAAAACAGTTTCATGAACTAAAATTAAGAGCATCCAATAGATGATCACATCATACATGCATGTTGATTGTTGTGCAGGCGATATTTAACGTGGGAAACAACCAATCGGATCCTACAAAGTTCGATTCCGGTGTGGGATTCACACCCATCATCGATTTCCAAGATGCATCGATAAAATGGCGTTCAACTTACAGGATAAACGGGTTTATTCAACTGACGTTAAACACAAAATGCAATTTCAATAAAGCTCGAAAAATCACATGCACTCACTTTCTATTGTCAAACCACTTGATGTACCGAAGTATATTTGATCTGAACCATTGGCAACTATTTCTGCTATGTATTCCACAACCGCATTGCGAACAGTGTTTACTGTCACTTCAGTTGATGAAAAGTTCTCACTAGTGCTACTGTAATCAATGACTAACACTACATTTCCAATAACTGATCCACGTGAGAAGCCAACAACTGTGCAAGTGACATTGATTATTCCCTTGATGTAAGTTGAATGGGTGCTGTGCAAAAGCTTGGAGATTTTGTGAGAAGAAAATGGTGCGTGTTATAACGGGACGAATATTGCAAAAGTTGGAACATTCGAAAATGGTTTTCGAATTGTTATCATGATTATTATTATTGTCATTATTATTTTTATCGTTATTACTATTATTATTTCTATCAATATTATCTTTATTATTCTCGTCATTTCTTCTTTTTGTTGTATAATTAGTACGTAACTGGATTGCTGTGTCTATATAATAAGTTAGCCACAAGCGTTTGGTTAACCTGTTAACCACTGATAGACAACTCACCACTCCCAGTTTGTTACCAGTCTACTACATACGGCTCGCTCTATTCCCAAACACCTTCGGCTTGTCTATGTATAGTTGTGATTTTTCACTCATTGGTGTGATGTGGTCCAGCATGTTTGTATATAAACCCACGTATGCTTGAATGATAGAGGCTGTCTGTTGACTTCTCTCTCTGACTCAAGGTAGAGTGTAATGAAGGGCTTACGAATAGCGGAAAAATAGAAGCCTGGCTTGCATCGCCTCAAGGTTAACGGTAAGGGTCAGACATGTGGTCGGTCATTGATCGGACACTGAGTCGTCGAGAAAATATTATACACGGAATGGAAAAGAAATTAGAGTTAGAATTCCGATTGGTAATCTTATCACGTGATATCAATCAGCATCTCAAGCCACAGAAGTGTGAGCTCTAGTTTTTCAATAAAATAGTCAGCAATGAATAAAGACATGATTTAGTCGCAGTTGTCAGTTGACGCGACATTACAATTTATAGCATCAGCAAACGGTGTTACATTGCCACTTGGCTCAGTGAGGCTACCTCGTGGTGTATGCATGTGAGGCTAGACAAAAATAGCTTGCTGGCATAAGGCGTTGTTGTATGAATGTCAAGGAAGTAGTTTGGTGGAGTTTTGTAACACAATATTTCGATTTTCGGTCACACTTAACTTCCTAGTCTAGAGATCCTGATCGATGCTGACAAACAGCGTTATGCAGCATCATGCAACACGTGTTGAAACTGGTTCTACCTCTTGCTCTTTTGTATGAATCGTTGAGTCTCGTCCTAAATGTCTCCGAACACTATTACGACAGTGGTGATCTGTGACTGGCTACATTTAGAAAAGTATGTGCTGACATAGTCATTCCAAGTGGTTAAACTACTGCCCTCTACTCGACACAGAAGGTTTACGTTTACATGGTAGGAGAACACGTTTGTTCTCTGATGTGAACAGAGAAACAAGAAACCTTGACAAACTACGGAAGCTATTGTTGGGGACGTTATTCCATTTAATTCAAAGCTTGCATAACAGTAAAATTTACTTTTGGCCTTAGTCTATTCTACAGATCATAAGCTTTCGTTTGATGTATGATTCACTGCCATAGCCTTTGCTGTTCCAAAGCTATTGTAATTTAGACGTAACCTTCTGTACTCTATTTTCTACTCTAATCCCCCAGTTTTGGACATAATATCATTTTCCTAATTATTTTGCGTTGTGGTCGGGTTAGTCATCTATATATTCATGTATCTTTCTACGCTAATCTAAAATCGGGTACCAGATCAGAATGTGGTATAAAGCGAGTAGTGTTCCAGTTGTCTTGTCTTCTCCCTCGCGCTTGCCTGTCAGCCAATCAGGTGATAGAATAGTTTTCGTCTCTCTACCCCGCTTCGAACTCACGCATACTAGCCTCAAGGTTAAGCCAGTCAGCCTATCGCGTCAAGGTCTGAATTTATATTAGATAAGTTATCCTCGGCACGATAGTGGTTAGACAGATCAGTTTTCCTCATTTTCATGTTAACTCAATTGAGAATTAGGTAACAAACTTACCAGGTCACAAATTTGAGTTGAATAATCTCGATATAAATCGGAATTGGGATCCAATAAACTGTCATTCCACTCCAAAGGCTTGTTCAATCTAGTCAGCGTTGATGAGATTGCTACAAAAGAATTCAAATAGTTTCCGACAAGTCAGAGTTCATTGATTTAAATACGACTTCTCAGTGAAAGGAGAATATTCAGTTGACTTACTGCTTCAAAACGAAACAAAACTGAACGAACTCTCTTCAACTCCACACCACGAATCCAAGTGTATTCGAGTATGATCTACCAAAGTGATAGACACTATGAAATAGATGGTTGTTCGATTTCCCACATCCATGTACACTGAATGCTATGTGTTCTTGGTTTGTTATGAAAATAAGCAATTCTACATCGAATGTTTATGTCTACCCACACACATTTGTTAGTGAGTGTGACAATATTGTGAGTGGAGTGACGCTCAGCAAACGAACATAGCGTGACTTCCACAGTTGCAGTAAATATCACTACTTGTTAGCTTCTATACGAATACAATGAGATTGTTCCATTTAGAAAGATAGTGAATCATTCCGGTTTAACAGAGATGGTGGTCTGGTCAATGCGACCTGACGACCCTGAACAACTCAACAATAAATACTGGTTGACAAATAATTTCAATATATCAGCGTACTATTTGTGACATCTCTTCGCTACACTGAATTTTCAAGAGGAACAAGAGGAACAGCCAACCATTTGTGCAACACAATTGTGACCACCTTACTGATGAATGAAATAGAAAACCGAATTAAAACAACCAATAAAGAAAATAATTTTTGTGATAAAACAAACTGCTTTATCAGGTTTTGACTTACTGATTATTGCCGTTTTCGTGAGGCTGACTTCTAGAAAACATTTAAATAGATAACGAAGAAAACGTTGATTAAAATAACACATGGAGTTTAGTGACATGCAACACAGATGGACAAGCATAAACACAAACACAAAACATAGGAGAAAAGCAACTTGAATTTAACTAAGCATACAAATGATGAAAAGGTGAATTCAGTGGTAAAGTTTCTCCCTCGATGGGAGTTGTCTCAGACATAAATTACTTCGTTTATCCATAAACAGTGAGAAGTGCTATAATCAAAAAATCACCTACAAACTAGTTATTTGACGTCAAGATGACAAGGAAATAACAACTAGATCAATTTAATACATGAGAATAACACTAATTTGAAATTCACAAGTTCTGGTTATTCACTGAAAGAATGTAGGTTCCATTAATAAAGCAACATGACATATTGGTTGTAAAATATTAGGCGACATATTCAGTATGAGATTAACTAGCAAACTCAAAAAAACTATCGAGAACTGTATAAATGATGAAAGTGAAGTGAAAATATATTCACTCAGAATAAAAAGGAGATTTAGACTAAGAACCAGAGTAGCAAAAGTATTAAACATCACCTGAATCATATAGAAAAATACCGCCTGAAAAATAAAAAAATAAGATAATGGAAAACGGTCTAGCAATGACGATCGCAGAGATAAACGTCATACTAGAAGCTCTTTAAGAATAAGATAGGAAGAAAGAGAGCTCGAACATGAGGAATAGCCAACCGGTGAGACATCAAAATAAAGCGACGAGAAAACATCAGTGTCAATAGATGAATACGCATCAAATCCCATGAAGGGAAACATAAATTGAGTCAGTATAATAAAATATATGCATTGTAGACGTGAGCGTACACACAAAACCAGACGGGACAACAATTGACAGAATACTCGGAATATGTTGATCAGCGATAAAGATTATCTCCTTTGATACTGTGGATCCAATGAAATGTGTGGTCAATGTGACTGCACTGGTCAGAGCAATATCGGTCGTGCTGACATGCGTTGACATTATGGGTGTGGATTGTCCAGTGCTGGTGCTAGCCACACCGCTTGTTTTGTTGATGTCATTAATGATGAGGCTGTTGGCCAGGTGCCGACCATAGGTGTGGAAATAGAGGTTGTTGTGTAGATCGTTGTCGAGTGGGTGTGGTGAGGCTCAGTTTATGTAGATTATTTCTTTATATTTGTTAGTTGTTTTTGTTCTTAGATGAACTTTGAATCAATGTAATAACTATTTAGTACATCATCCAACATTATATAAATATATATATATATATGGCTTTCATACAGAACTTAGTTTTTCACTGTTTGAATGAGTCTTTTCATGATAACAAGTGTTAGAAATAGTCATGAAATCACAAGAAACTCATATCTGATAAGTTGAGTATGTTTCATATAAAGTTACAGGATATGTGTTTGACATAGGTTTTCTCCTGGTAAAAAGTGACTGTCTTTTCAAATGTTCGGTGGCAGTGAAAAGTGTAATCCAGAAGTATTATGTTTTATTTAAATTGTTATTGACAATAGACAAGAATAATGAGTTATCACAGTTAGCGGATTATTTGATTCAAAATTATGTACAGTATATTGTCAGTCAAGTGAAGAGCTTTATCACACATACTACTTAAGACATATCCATAACCGTATTTATTATTTAACGAAAAACTAAACAAACTATTTCATTAATTAGTCAACAGAGACTTCAAAAATGTATACTGGGTTCTGATATATGTAAATATTACTGATTCCATTCATTCCATACGACATGTGTTTGTTTGACTGAACACAAATTCTAACATTTTCTGTTCCACATAACCCAACTCAACATTTAATTCTCATCTCGATGTCAGTTAAAAATAAAATAATGAAGTGAATTAGATGGTAAGATTGCTTATTATGAACTGAATATCTTTCTGCAAATAAAGCTCAAAGTGCTTATAAGCCTTTGCGAAGAAAACACTACTGTAGATATTTGATTGCAGCACAGCATTAGGATAAGTGGTCTTGTCAATAAAATCAGAAATGAGTTTTTAAGAAAATAGTTGATGATGCAATTTCCCATTTACAAATAATCAGTATGGTGACTGAGTCTTCTCAACAAGTAAGAGAGGAAGTTGAAATACCCAATTTATCCTAAGGTTGTGGCTAACTGTTGAGTAATGTAGTATAGAAAAGTAATACTATATTTAGATATAACGATTAGGTTTTGTTGAGTAGGTTAACATATTAATTCTTTCATCTCACAATCCGCGCTGCTTTTTCTCATCTAAGATCCGAGTAATCTAGCCTTCAACAAAAAGGATCTGTTTTTGAGAATTAAAATGACAACTGGTTTGTATAATTTTAATTTGATAATTTTTATTTCAGTAGTCATGCTAAATTATCAGATACTGATTTTTACAATATAACTATTTTAATATCGTGAATCATCGAACCTTCAATGTGATAAACTGCTTACTATGAATAATTTGTTTATTTTAAATGGACAATGACTAACCTGTACTTGTTGAATACACACTAAGTGGAAAATCTAGAAACATGTCATCAGTGAATGTTTGTGCTAACAGAGTAGTATCTGGCGTTTCTTCTGAAATCCTAGATACAATTGATGTTATTAAACTATCAGTTGCTCCTAATGTTGGGGTGTATGGCATCTCTGTTGATTTCTTTTGTTCAATGACCAATGTACTTGTGTCAGTTGAATTGTTTTCGCCAACCGTGGACTCATTTGTCAGTTCTAATAGATTAGTTTCCATTGTTATTGGATCAGAATCCTCGTCATTTGTTTCAGACGATGTGACATCTTGTATCACCTGAGTGTCATAAGATATTGTTGATTCCATACTTATCACTATCACTAAACAATGTAAAAAATTACAGGGCAATATAAGAAATCAATCAGATAAAGGTATGAGAATGTTATATTTAACTGTTAGTTAATTTAAGACCACTGATTATGTACATATACATATATCACTTGCAAGAACACCCATATGAAAGCTATAATGATATCATGTCAAGTGATAAAACTTTTAAAAGTCAATAAAAAGGTTAAATAGCATTCCTTAGTTGTTAGATTGAACAATTCTTAACAACGGACGTTCGCTTCACTTCTCTTTGACCGAACACTGACTGACGAAGTTAGAACAGCCTAGTAGTTTCAATAACAATAATTCGGCTATTTATTTTCTCTAAACAAGTGGCTTACATTAAGTCACAAAATGTAGGAATTACACATTTTTTCTAAACATATGGATATAACAAAAAATATATTTATTATTAACCATAAAAAAGTTTTCCTAAGTAGTGTTTTTTCTAATTTGGAATTGTAAATTTTCAAAATATTTACCACAATTTCAGGTGTCATTCACTCAAATGGATAAACAGAGTTTGCTTAAATTCATTTATTGTTTGTTTGAATCGTCCCATCTGAGATGCAGGTACATCCAGCTGACGAGCCACAAATAGGACGAAACGCGCGTCCTGGATTCCAATGCTAGCCACTATCCATCTTTGCTTACAGAGTTTGCTTAATTTAATTAATTATTACCTGAGTTAAAATAGTCTGAATTTACTCCTGACATGTTATACTTTAAGCAGGAACTCCCAGAGTCAGCATTCTTTCAATTAATTCACTGATTTATTTAATTGGTATGGCTACTTATAAATCATTCGATTTTGCAAGACGTACTGTATCTAAATCAGTGAATTAAAGGGAGAGTAACTGAGTTAATTTCAATATAAAATCAATAGAGCAACCTATCACCGCTTGGATTGATCGATCTGATCTAAACAGTTACTTTGTACAAATTCTTTCAAATTAGCTTAATGACGGAAAATTCAGATATCTTGGTTTACCAGGGATGAAAATTAAATGTCATTCAAGAATAGGGTCTTATGCAATCTGTTTGGATGACAGATTTTATGAAAAAGAGTAAGCTCATTTAAACATAACTAGATTTGAAAGATTGACCTAGACAAACATGTAGTGTAGTGAGAACGAATAACTATTACGCTCAAATAATGTATTCTGTATGAATAAACGACCAAAACGATATCTAGCAAATCCAACTAATGTTTCCTGGATTTCTTAATCAGTTTTCGAAACTATTTATTATTATTTATAAAAAGTAAATATACCTCAATTAAGTCTGCTAACAACAAGTAATTTCGTCCACCTATCAGAAATAATTCAGTTATCTATTTAACACATTTATGCCTCTGTTATCACTTCATTCAAAGATAATTTTCTGACAATAGCTGTAGATAATACGGTCGAATAACTAGACCTTTATGGTGATCATTCCTGAAAAAATGATTTCTATGGCCGATGAACCAAGTATCTACCAGTCTTTACAAAGACCTTGACATAAATTAAGGTAGGGGTTCAATCCGCTTTCTAAAGTTTGTATACTACGAGCAAGCAACGTAAGCTCTTCACAATTTATTAATTGGTGGATTTTTCCTTGTCGTAGTGTTATAAATTTAGTTTACTTTCTCGAAATATGAAAATATTAAATATTTTCTATTGTGTTTAAGAATAAACTGAGGAAAGTAAAACAAAGTAATACAGGATAGTATAGCGAAGATAATCAGCTTAATTGTAAACAATTACCTTATTATATAGAATATTTACTTGGGAAGAAATTCAATATGTGGTCATTGTAGCTTTACTATTAAAAATTCCCAAAATTTGAGAAGTTGCTGAGATATTCATCAAACTAATTTCACCTCAGATATTATTATTCATCAAATGTTCATGATGCATTCATTTTAACAAGAATCGTTTTTGTAGGGGAATATGTTATTTTAAAAAATCTTGTATAATTTACCTCACAGTAAAGCTAAATCACAGTGTATTATTTCAAACTATGAGAATTTAAGACAGCAAATCTAGGCACATGGATGCAGCCAACTTCAATACGATTGAAAAAAATATAGAAATCCATATATATACTACCTTCTGGGAACTTTTATAATGACTTACATGATAATGAAATACTTGAATTTGGATCAATGTAAATTTCAAATGTATCATTTTGATCCACTGTTGAAACATATTCATTTATTTCTGTGATTATATTAGTATCATTTAATATAGTTGATGTAGGTTCAGATGTTGCATTAATTGATGATGAATTCACTGTCAAAATAAGCTCAGCATCAACGTCAATGGAGCCTTTTTTGAATTGTATGGTACCACATTCAACAATCCATTGAGATGATAAAATTGACCTCATGACTGCTAAAAGCTGAAAGTTTTGTTTGAAAATATTCATCGATACTAAATAAGCGAAATAGTTTATAAATGAATATACTTCTCAATAGATATTTCTGTGAATTAACAGTTCCTACATTCTTTCTCAGAAGTATTTTAATCTGAAAAATTGATATTTATTAAAAAACTTCTTTCTTCCACTTCCTTTCTTCCACTTAATCATTTTAAGTACAAATAAGTAGCAGATCGTATGTTTACAAATATTTTCAACAGTTTCACATAACGATTGAGATGGGTGCTCGCTCTATTTGCAAAATGTTCTTTTTCAAATCTTAACAATCTATTATAATCTTATTTATTTGAATCATTGAACTTATACCTAGTAAATATTACAACCGTATCAACTAGTCTGACTGCTAATTCAGATCTCTATTTCATTATGCTAGTAAACACCTATAATAAAGTTTCCTTCTTCATTTGGATGACAGCTTAAAATGTTGCTTTATAAAGGCCGGCAAAAATGAATAATGGGTTAAATCCATTTGATTACATATTAATAGACAAAGAAAATGTAGACTTAAAGATAGACTTAGTCTGGTTTTGGTGTTTAAAAATTTAACGACTGCTTACTGGTGCACTAAACAGATACTCATCAAAAGTAGTGCTACTAAAAAATATCATTGAAATATCATACTATTATACGTTCTACAATAAACCTGGTTAAAACCTTACAGATTTTGAAGTTAATAACACATTATCCATTATCAGTAGATTGGGATAGAATAACTTCCAACAATCAACAGATTTCCCTACTGTTTTCATATTCAAAACACGTTCAATCACCAGACTTCACAGTTTTTTAGGAGCAATTGTGAGATTCTTAACATCTGTCGCTTACACAATGTTTTACCAAAGGTCTTCATTATGAAGCTGACAGATATCAAGTAGTAAAAGAAGTCAATCGAAACCTACTGTTTTTTTAACTTTATACATTTTTTTAAGGTAGTAAATAAACATATAACTGCACTTAGTGAACACATGACTTTAGTTAGGTTAATACTAATACTTAAATATATCATGTCTCGACGTTTTTCTCAATACTAAATGTACTTGATTCGCCCAATTCTTTCTGATAATGTGAATGAGTTTCTATCACGAAAATAACAATTTACGTAAAATATAACGAATTAGTTTTATTTCATTGTAATCTCCATAACGTCGCACAAGAAAATTTCTTTACATCACTCAAGATTTTAGTATCTGAAACTAATAAATTAATCCTTATATACAGTTGAAATCACTAGTCAATTGAAGCTAGATCACCATGGAAAACCTGGAAGCACTGGACGGCCAACTCGTCCTATTGTGGGATTCCTCAGCAGTGCGCACTTTGATCCCTCCTCGCGAGATCCGAACCCAGGACCTACCAGTGACTGGCTCCATGAGGTATTTCCTGGAGTTCTAGTGAGAAGCAGTAACCAGTGGAGTTCAACCAGGTCTGTTGGGAGATATCAACTCACTGAAGACATTGTTGAATGGTTGCTCAATTTCAACTGACTCGTAATCTCAACTATATAAATTTACTAATATCTCCACAAAACCCCTTTCAGAAAAAGAATTATTCAAATTACTTATTTTCCTATTTTCAAAACACTTCGGATGCAAATAACTCATTTCAGTTTTAGTATTATTTTGAAGTTTGTGAATCTCGTTAGAAAAAATATATAGTTTGTTTATTATTTTGGGTAATTTTAATATATCTATCAAATATTCCATATGCAACAGAGGGGTCACGAATAAATGACTGATACAGTTGAGGGCGACAAACTTGATCTAATTTTATTTGCGTTACTGAACATTATATTGTTTACAGTGAAACTAGTTTAGTGGTGTGGTCTACTTATATCCATATAAGTAGTATATGTCGATGGTCAGACATAGAATGTATTTTAGCAGAAGACCGATAAGGAAAGAACTGAAATGAAGCGCAATTGGTGGGAAAATGTATGAACAATGGAATTAGAGAAGATGAACTGATATTTACAGAAGGAACAATGAAGACTGAGACAATTGATTGTTATTTTGCGAATTAACTGTTTATTATATGGTTATCAGAATTTAGTGAGATAGCCTGTAATTTGTGCTTAAATACATTCGATTGTCCCCAACCAGTGTTTCGTTCACTACAGTTTCACTACCAGAAATTTCACTGTGTCACATTCTGACCTGTATATGAGTTATCGATCAGAGTTATATCTGAATCATCTTGAGTTTATCCAGTTTAGTATCTGCCCAATATTTAATATAGTATTTCTTTAGAATGTATTAGTGAAATTAATTTTTCTAAGAGATTTGAATGTAGTGTCACACTTTTGTTAGTCCCTAACTGTGATATAGGCTCATGATATAGTAAAATAAAGAACTACAATGTGTCGCGAATATGTTAAACTCTACTCCTCGTATAGAACATTGCATCTACTTCACAATTATAAATTGTTTGTTGTTAATATTTGTTAAGATTTACATATATTTGGCAACGAATCTAACCCTATACTAATTGATGCCACACCTTCTTCAATTCCTACAGCCAAACTTATTACTTTTAGGAGGAAGAGATGATACATTAGGCCAAGGAGAAGTTGGCTCATGATTGGTCTAAAAAAGTTTAGCGTTTCTCAAGAATGGGAACCAAACAACACATTGCTAGTAAACTATTACATTCAGTCTATTATCACTCATAAAATGTATGCCTTTAGCTCAGAGATTCACTAAAAAAACAATAACTTATTCTATAGACAGACAATACTTTTGTAGTCTGATTTCAAAATGTATGGATGAATTAGGTGAAACATTTATTTCTGTGAATTATTTTCAATAATTATGTTAAAGAGCCTGAATTTAGAAACCTTGTTCTAATAATTATCATATTACATAAAGGTGAGGTAACGTCATTAATAATGGCTTAATGTTGCTTATTTTATCTACTCTTCATAGATTATATTCTTTTTATTGCTCCACCTTGTAACAATTTCACTTCTAGACTTTTACAATTCAGAAATAATTCTGTCAACAATAAAATTCTGTTCAATTTTGTAATTTGTTTGTAAACTTTTGAGGATCAATGAAAAGGTATTAACCGGGGAATAGATTGTGATAACAGTTTATCACTTGGATTTTGGCTGATCTTTGTTAACTCCGATAGATGGGTTGATTGTTATTTCATTTAGCTAAATTTGTAACAATGAATAATAATAACACTAGTAGGGATAATATTGCTTATATTATGAAATCTTAATATAAAACAAATAAATAATAATAACAACACTGGATTATATTGTTTAAGGTAAACAAATAGTCAACACCTAATCTCTATGCACAGTTTAGAGTGTTTAGTCCATAATAACTGAATCCCATGACTGTGTAAAACTTCCTGACTATGGCTGTGAAATAATCATTACAGTTGAGCCAACTATTAGTCTTCAATAAAATTCAGTGGTCTCTTCATATGATGATGGGATTGATTAACGATATTATAATATTTTCCCATCCCCATTTATCGTTTCAACGTAAATACACATTGCTACATCTAGAGTCTAATCCACATAACGTAAACTTCTTTGAATTTTAATTGAAATAAAGACTAGGTTTACCATGATCCACTTTTACTATACACAACGGAATCATTTGTGTGACTATTTAATTATTGTTCTGCATTTCATTGTCTGATATTCTACTGTCGTTTATATGGCTCTTGCAAAGAGGTTTTATGAAAAATAACTGTGTACTGAAATCGAACAAAACTACTAAAATGAGAATATTTTGCATTCAGTTTTAGCTCAGGAAGTATTATTCTACTATTTAACCCTTCAGTTATGCATAAATCCGTAAAAAGGCACAAACGATCTCGATCACAACTTAACAATCTTTACAAACTTATACTGAAAAATCAAACAATTTTTCACCTGATATTCGTTAAATCCATAGAAATTTTAAGCTCTAAAGTGATGCAGCTTCGTTGAGATTGACTGTTAAAAGGTAAATGTAACTAGAAAATGTTTTTCTCCTTTGTTTTACATGTATTAATTGTGTTAAATTAAAGCCCTAAGATCTTTAAAGTGTAAAGTTATAAACGGCAGTAAATCACAACATCAATATTTAGCAGAGAATATTAATTCCTTAAAATAAACTTGATCACTATTAAAACTAGACAACCTCTCCTACTAGCTCTTTATTTCACAATGTAAAGTAGAAATCTATAGTTTTATAATGCGTTACTACTGAAAGGTTATTTCAAATTTATTCGGACTATCAAGTCCCAAACACAGGACCCGGACTCAGGACCTTCAGACTCGCTAAAACGCTTAACGTCTAGACCCCTAAGCCGTCGTCCAACGGCTTTAATGTCTAACTCCAACCAATTCAAGATACTGTGCAACTGTCTTCTATTGTCTTCGGTGGGTAACTGCTTCACACCTGACATCGATTGGACTCCACTGGTCATGACTTCCCACTAGAACTCCAAAAATTACCTCTCAAAGCTAGTCACTGGTGATCACATGATCGTGGATGCGAACTGCTGAGGTGTCCCACACTAGAACGAAACGACCATCTAGTGCTTCTAGGTTTACTGTAGTGGTCTAACATTGGTCGGTTTATGATATATATAAGAACTAAAAGTTCTGTAATACTCTCTAAAAATGAGTTGAGCAATTCATTTGACCTAAGTCAATTATTCGAACGTTGTTTTTCAAATAAATACTCAGCATATACAATAATCATAACTGATTTACTTGGTGTGCTGTATGTCAGTAACTTTTGAAAATTGCTAAACATTTAACTAGAATTACTTAAAATTTACATCGACACTACTGATATGCATTTTAGATATTTGTTAACCGTTTTATAAATCATAAATAAATATAAATACTTTCTAGTTAAAATCAGATGACTGTTTTTCATAAAAATTGACTGATGTGCTGAGAGAACACGGATAACGAAACATTGCTTTCGCTCAGACGAGTCATCAGAGCAAACCAAATGTTACTAATATTTCTAAGAATAAAATTTACTTACTAGTTCACAAACATTTCGATATAGTTCTTGATAAGTAGTTGAAGTGGTGTTCAGTAGATCATCATCCCATGTTAGTGAACTATTAGATCCTTTAATTGTAAAATTCAAGGCTTTAAAAAAGAAGAAATATACAATGGAACGGGTTAAGTATTTTTCACTCATCAACCTTATTTATACGTAAGAGCATACATGGAATTAATTTAATTGATAACTATTTGTACTATCCCTTTGAGGATATTTTGACTGGAATTTGGTCACTCTTGGTTGACATCAGTGCATCATCTGTGGATTGCCTCGATATAGTCATTATGGCACAAGTTTATATGGAACTGATGGCTACTAGTGAAATCTAAGACACTGGTTTAGTACCATACCTTTCTCACAAATGAATGGCTATGTGGACTAGTTGGTGTTTGAAGCGAAAGGAACCGGGTTAAAATTTCGGCGTGGAAATCAACTGACGAGTCTCATATAGAACGAAACACACATCTTGAATCTTACTGTTATTAACATTCCGTCTATTCTGTATATAATTACTTTGTTCTGAAACCATAATTGAATCAAATTATTTGAATTCTTGGAAAAATAATTACCATGTATGATGTTTAGTTCAACTAGATAAGTTCGATAGTGGTTATGCTTCCTAGTATGCACGGATTTTATTGAAAGGTACTAGCTAGGGAACTGATACCATGGCACTGATGTTCAAACGAATGTATTTTATGAGAATTGCTTTAATCAGAACATAGTAACACATCGTTTAACCTGGATTCAGTTATCTATTTTCGAAGTCAGCGTTAATCGAGGACTTACATTAAATAGAGAACTATTAGTTAATCTGGAACAATATACAGCTTATGTTTTTCAGTTTACCAATTTTGAGGAGTGTTGATCAACTACCGGAGGCAGAATCGAAGTTAAGACTTTCAGATATCACAGTCATTACCATTCATTTGTTGATTTATTTGTTGATTGAACGGTATGACAGGTGTATTATACTCAGAATAAGAGCTAAGACTAAAAATTGTTAAAAGATGTTAATAGTTAGTAGGGATTGTAGTTTCTTACAGTCACTACTCAAAACTGAATTTTTAAAATACATCTTGAAATATGAGCTAAAGTAATTGATAATAACCCAAATATGTGGTTGACATTTTTCTTCTATTAATAGATTTTCCATGAAAAAACACTTATAAGATTTACCCTTTCCGTATAGCACTTCCATTAATATTGCTAAGTAATTGGACTTAATTAGTATGTTTAAAACAAGTATGACTTCTTTGTTCTTGTTTTTGAAGAGTAATAAAACATGCAATAGATAGCTGCATAATGACTAACAGTAGCGTTTATATCGAAATCACAATACTGCTCTAATAGAAGATAAAGTGATGTGAATATTGTGTAATTGTCGTGTTAAGTAGTTATAAATATTGCCAAAAAAAATTAACAATGAAGCCATTTTGAGACGAACTATTTTTGCAACCAACAGAGCTTGAATCTCAAGAAAAAAGTGAATTTCCCGATGAATCATTCTGATGAACGAAAGAATGATCGAACCCCGTGTGCCTTGTCTTATATCTAACATGATAAAAATTCAATAGCTGATTCTAACACCATGAAAGTTCATAACCTTTCACACCACACCTTGCATTAATAATGATAGTGTGTATTAACAAAGAAAACATTAATAAGTTGTATAACCTTACCAGATTTTAATACGACACTCATAGACACATATAAAGAGTAACATTTTATGAACCTACCTACACTATATGTCGTCGAATCTAAAGTTTCATCAACTTGTTCACTATAAGGTAATGTCGATCCCAATGATTTTTCTGTATACATAAAATCACTTCTAGAATTCACTGAAATAAGTTCAAAACTTAAATATCATTTTGTTTCCTTTGAATAAAATGTCTCATTCAATTTGTAGGTTTGATTTATTGAATATATATATCAAAATAAAACACAGATAACTTAATAAACAATGAATAAATACACTGAGTATCGTTTGTTTGAATCTTCCCATTGATGCTTAGGACTGCAACTGGTTAGTGGCTAGCAGTAGAATCCATGACGCGCGTTTCGTCTTATTTTGAAGCAAAAGGTACTGGGTTCGAGTCCCAGAGTGAACATCAACTCTGAGATGCAGGTGTACCCAGCTGACGAGTCCCATATAGGACGGAACGCGCGTCCTGGATTCCACTGCTAGCTACTATCCATATTTGCTTATAATGAATAAATAATTCCTATATTAAATTATTTGAAGTGGATAGGGCGCACTTTGAGGAAATCACCCAATCGCGTCACAAGACGAGCCCTTATATGGAATTCTGAAGGCCAAAGAAGAAGAGGAAGACCAAAAATACATCACGCCGAGAAATAGAGACAGACATGAGAAGAATGAACAAAAACTGGATAGAACTAGAAAAGAAGGCCCAGGACAGAGTGGGTTGGAGAAAGCTGGTCGGCGGCCTATTCTCCATTGGGAGTAACAGGCGTAAGTAAGTAAGTATATTAAATTATTTGTAAGTTAACTACTATGTATTCACATTGATAAATAATTTAATCTAATATAGTAACAAAATGTCTCACTGAATAACAACACCTCAACATGGCGTAGTTTTCGTCGAATTGGTATCTCATTGTCAAGTGTCATACTAGTGCGAGTATTTAGTTGGCTATGTTAATGATGAAAAGTTAAAACAAGATTTTTTTCAAGTAAAGATAGGTAAGATGAATAAAATTTAAATGCCCTTCACATATTATCTTACATTGTGCTGCTTCTTTCAAAAGAAAGATAAATTGGAAAGTCAGTAACTAAAAGACATAACATACATAAACATAAAGAAATGGCTCAGCGATTCGTATTCATTCAAAGACTGTGCTAAAAGGATCCAATAATTTGCACTGATAAGTACTTGAAAATTTAAGTTAGATATGCTTGTAAAAGTTAGGTTAATTTCATTGGTTTGTTACCATTCCCCAGGAAACTATAAGTTTTTGTACATAGTTATTAATATACCCTTCAAAGTGTGGATTTTTTCTTAGTTTTTAGTCAAGCCTTGAAAATGGTAATAATTACTCGAACCTAAATGGGAATAATATAGTTGTAAAATCTCAGCGAATGAATTTGAAGATTTTACAAATATATTATTCCTATTTAATGTCATACATCAACTCGGCGCTCAAATACTGTGAAACTACTCGCTCTAATTTAGACGAAAGTTCTTATAAATTACTCGAACTACTTACTATTTATAAGTAGTATGATAGACGTAAAAAGATAAGCTGAATGGAAGTCAAGCCGAACAAGTTTCATCAAGTTTCTCCTTTTATATCTGTATGTTTACGTAAAATGATAAAGTTAAATTTCGAAATATACCTAGTCAAATTCTAACAGATATGTCACTATTCATTGACTTATAATTTATCACATATATATGGTTGTAAAGCATTGAGAATGAATTCTCTATAAGGGATACCTTTGCTGAGTAAATTGTTCTATGATCTAATGGGCATATATTTTTTAATCAAATAGATGAAAATTATTTCACATGTATTTAATTACCAATGAAATTTTAAATATATTATGTAAACATACCAAGTGATTGAACTTCATCCATAGAACTCCTCATGTATGAGTACATTTCATCTGCGTAAATCATTGTTGTTGTTGTCGTCGACATCGAAAGTGGTAATGATGATGATGATACCGGTTGTGATGTTGGAAGTAATACATCACTTTCTTCTTTTATCTCAGTCACTAATTTTAATTAAACAGTAAATTAAGTAAATATTAATGATTAATAATTATTTCTATGTCCTTTCATATAGAGGACAAATGGAATGAAGAAATATTTCCCGGTTATTCAGTCGTACTAATTATAACATTGGTTATGATTATGCAAAGAAACTTTTGATTGTAATAAATCATCTTAACCGTGAGCCACTTGTCATGATTATATCCAGTTAATCTCATTTTCTTTAATAAACATGTTTATTCTTGATCGGTTAAATGAGTCTTATTATCTAATTGCCTAGTAAGCTTTATCCAGCATACTATTAAGCAAAAACTCTCTTGGTATATGAATCCGACTATCAAGTATGCATAACTGAATTATTTTCACTTGTTCATGTACATAGATTCAGTAAATATTGAAATATTGAACCCAGGACCTACCAGTCTCAAATCTCGCGAGGCCGATCGTGGATGCGCACTGTTGAGGAGTCCCACAATAGGACGAGCTCACCGTCCAGTGCTTCCACGTTTTCCATGGTGGTCCAGCTTCAATTGACTCATGATCTCAACTATATAAAATTACTAAAATCTCCACAAAACCCCCTCTGTTTATTATGTTTTGTTTAATTTCGATATCCCATTACTGCTGATCTTCTGCTAATAGGCTGACTATTCAAATAAATTCAACAGAAAAGAATTTTGTATGATGTATGGAATACGATTAAACTGTTATTCATGAAGCACTTTTTATCTAGATGTCGATAGCAACAGTTTTTCTATCCATTTAGCATTCACTTATGTTAAATACAAGGAAATGAAACAGTAAAACTTACATCTGAGTGAAAAATCTCCATTGAAATTAAATCCTAAAGAAAATGTTTTATCATTAACTATGGAATCTATCAATTCCTTGCTGCCTTTTATCAATAAGTTTGATAGGTCTTGAGGAGATAATAGCGAATAATTAGCTTCATTAAATGTCAGGATTGCGTTGAGTACAATAGAACCTTTTGTGAATTCTAAAAACGTACATTCTGGCTGTTTTAATCGACTTGTATTCGCATGCTGGAAACTTTGTAGTAGCTATTAAAAAAATTGGAAATCGAATAAAACCATCGTAGAATAGACCCAATTTAATAAAAATGATCGGATATTATAAAACAAATTTCGAAGAGAAATAGATCACGTAGTAAAAAATAATTGAAATGATGAAGTTTTTTTGTCAAGTTTTTCATAAGACGATCTTAAAAGGTGAAACCAGTAAATATTTTAGTTTCCACTAATACTCACCACTAATCTCTGTGTTACACAAAGTAGTTAATTGAATTTATTATTAAAATGCTTTAAGTCAACATTAACTATATTCTGAATGAACCGTGATACGGATATAGTTATACAGTTTCTTAACCAGAACTATCAACTTAAGATGTATGCGTGGAAGATATATTTGTAGCAGTTACTCTTTCCCTAAAATCATAGGATTCAGATGAACTTAAGTCAGATACAGAAGATTATTGCAATCCGATAACATGACATACGTTTTCGATGTTTTTCATCTAATTTTCTCTAAACATTTTGCAACTTTTGTTACTAACAAAATGTGTACTTACTCTGTTCATTATGCCTACATAGAATCTTTGTTTCTCATAATTACTCTATAACTTTTATTAATTATCAGAAGGGGTTTTGTGGAGATTTAGTATTTTCATAGTTGAAATAGTGAGTCAATTGAAGCTAGACCACCATCCAGGAGTTCTAGTGAGAAGGAGTGACCAGTGGAGTTCAAACCACGTCTGTTGGGAGATAGGAACGCATTGAAGACAATTGGTGAACGGTTGTTCAACCTTGTGGATCAGTTGAAGTTAGACATTAACACCGTTGAATGCCGGCTCAGAGGTCCATCGGTTAAGGGCTCTGGCTCGAGACTGTTAGGTCCTGGGTTGAAATCTCGCGAGTTGGGGACCGTGGATGCAAACTGCTGAGGAGTTTCGTAATAGGACGAAACGGCCGATCAGTGCTTCCAGATTTTCTATAACTTTTGTTAAAAGAAATAATTAAATTTCAATCCTCTATATTTATTTCCTTTATCCTGAGTGTTTTTCTTATCTAGTTATTATGTAATTAAACATTTTATAACCATTGTCTATTCAGATATAATACATATTACTTACAAATTCACAATAACTAGTTGACAACAGTTTGTATATTTTAGATTGTGGATCAGTTAAACGATCATCCCAATTCTTCAATGGAGAATGAATTCTACTTTTAATCAAAATTGAATATTTATCTAAAAAGACAAACCGAAATTTAATACCATCGTTATAATGATAGTAATATTTCAGTTATATTAATGATATATTAACTTGCCTATTGAATGGGTGTAATATTTAATAAAATGGACTATAAAATGGAAGTTATATCACCATCTGAAAGTAGTTTAAACTATTTCATAGACATGTATACAAAGAACATCTCTATCAGATATACATTCATAAAGATTTATTTATTCAGGCTCATCTCCCAAGTGTCTTATCTTAATTCATGCTATTATTAAATGTCCTTCTATTCAATGGGGGAATTATTCATTACCTTTATTGCACACATAGAGATTAAATGATTACAAATTAGTCAATCACCGTTATAGTTGGAATGATTACCTAAATAACATGATATCAGTGGTACTGTTTCAGTTAATACGACGTATATTAGTCTTTTAAAGTATATGTAGTACAATCCGCTTTGATTAAAAGTTTACCAGTTTAAAGGAAAATTCTTACTCAAACATAGAGATCGGTCCCAGGAGTCAGTACAACTCATATAGCTAAAGCATTTGCCACTAAAAGATTAAACGCAATCGTTCACGATTTCTGAGCTTAGAAATGCCTTTGTACACGCCTGGATTAATTAAGTCAGTTTGAACCTCACTTAGTCAGAACAAATCAAATCGAAGGTGAGTTACTGAAGATTACATAAAGGGTGTTTGATCTAGACTATCTAGTATAGGTATCGTACCAGTGCCAGAACAGTAATTTATTTTTCCAAAAAAGTAATATGTCTTACCACTAAAAAAATTTCCTTCTGAATTTTGTAAGTCACGCTTTTCTCGTGATTGTAGAAATCGTGGCGTTTTTTGATATTTCGGAGTTATCTCGTCTTCAGATAAATCAAAGTGCTTAATCGTTGGAAATTCTCCATAAACTTCAAAATCAATCTCTGGTATATGGATCGACTTGAACAACTGTTTCTGTCGATGAGATATTTCTGGTTTGGTTAATGTATCATAATTGTGAATTGTTTTAGCTGTTAAGTTTTTATCTAATAAACATCCATATAATAACCCAATACAGAATATAATCTTGGGGACATCAAATGTGAACAAATTCGTTCGTGTCATTTTATGCTATAACCTAAAAAATAAATATAAATAAATTCGAGACAATTATCTACTCTTAGTATTCAGTTAAGAGTCAACGAAAAAACTTCTATTCGAAAAAAAACAACATCCGCCAAACTTTTCATTGCGGCTCAATATTAAAATTTCCTGGTTTGACTACTCTCAATCAATTTTTGAATCTTTTATACCTCAGAAAATTTTACAATTACAGTCTCGATCTAAACATGATTTGTAAATGTAAGCGCCTCTTTTCTTAAAAATTACTTAGATTCATTTAGATTCAATTATGAAAATGCATCATTTATAATGGAGTTTTAAAATTGTATCATGATTTTATTTTATTTTATGATAATAGTAATAATAGAAACACATTCCATGAAACATTTTACAATATACATTTAAATATAATATTCAAGTGATGTTTAACTTCAGAAGAATTATCAGCTGTTACTGCATGATGCTTTAATAGAAGGGCCTCCAAATGCCCTGGTACGGCCGAGAGTGGGGAGAGTCCGCTCTCCTTCGAAAAATGCTTTCACATGGCCACGCGTATATAGCCTCTGCCAGGGAAGTCCTACTCACTGCCTTCTCTGAAATGGTGTGTTGTTTACGAAATTGAGAGCACAAAAAGCGAATATCCAGCGCTTTAACCGGGGCGACCTAGGGGAGTTGGAAAACCCTGATTCCAAACCAATGGTGCACATGAGCTCCAGTATCCTGAGGGGATGAATAGCGTATGAATCAATCGTTGGTCACCGGCTACCATGAGACTGCATCTTCTTACGATGCTCCATTGCCTTGTGGATCAGACTTTTAGGTCAAAGGCTCCGGGTGTGGGCCCCTAAGAAAACCACCTGTTTCAGTTTAATCACCTGGGCAGTATCACAGCCCTTACACAAATCAAATGAAATTTGTGAGGCGCATATATACCTGGTGCCCCTTTGTACAATATTTATGTGTTTAAATAAATAAATTCTGGACGTATTAGAACCTAAAATAATCAGAAAAATTCCCTTTTCTGTTGTGATATCTTTCAAAACAATATTTTTTTATATAGGAGGAAATTATCCGTTGTAATAGTAACACTAGCTATAACTGATTAAAAATTGAATTGTTGGAACCATTTATCTCACTATAGTTTGAGAATATTAAACAATATATATCCATGACAACTTAGCTTTGATGAAAGCATGTTACTGTAAACTATTCAGGTTTGACCTTGATTATGCTGAGATAGTTAAATATAACTAAGCAAGTTGTTGTTACACATTTTGATAAATGTTATGTAGTAACCAATTCCTTAAAGCAAGCAATCTCCAAGTACTAACCAAAATAGCACAACCTTTTATAGGACTAAAAGATAATTGTGCATCATGTAGTAGACCGATACATTCTGAGTGGTAACAAGATCATGATTATTTAAAATTACCTTTTAGCTATGAATTAACTTGTTTCAAGATGGAACTTTGCTACTGACCACTGTTTGATAAACCATGGTGCTCGAAACAATTTATGAACGTTACTTCAAAAAAAACACAATTATTGACAGTTACGCTCACTGATCTGGCTGAAAATGACTTTTTCGTCTTGGTTGTGTAAATGACAGGTAAGAATAATCAAGTGTATTATTCTCACTTAGTGGAGACAGGACATAGCATTATTCTTAATAAAGCATTTAAGGTTGTCCATCTTATTTCATCAAGTTTACTGCATGGTTCAATTGGTGGTCTTTTGCATACTGCTGAAGCTGTAGGATTCTTAATCCACAAACCTAACCTTTGCTCTCAAAAGAAGTTTGTACAATCGCTCTCCTTATCTTTTCCATCAATATGGAAGCGTGTTTTTAGCTAAACTTTGGTTAACATATTTCCTTTTATATAAAAAAATTTTCATTTCATTCACCATACACTACCGATTTATGGAGAAGTAATATTTCTCTCTGAAAAAAACTAGATTTTGACAATTCCTATAGTTCCCATAACAGTATTGTTCCCAAAAAGACGAAGACACCGGTATTATTAAAAAAACAAAGACTTCTACCGGTATATACTTAATATAACCAAGGTGATTGTACAAAAAACAGTTAATCAAACATTAAAATGAAGTTCATTAAATAACCAGTGAGATATTGTTTCTTAACGTCACATTACTTGTACTCATACACTTTTATATCATTTGTTTTTAATTTATCATGTTTATTTGAAATTATTACTTCTCCCACTATCTACTTGAAGCTAAACTGTCGAAATGATCACCTAGTAACTTTGATATGCGTATGATGTAGATGATGACTGGTGTTAAGAAACTTGTCTAACTTATCGATCCAAAACCAATCTGTTCTTTAGTAATTCATCTGATTTCACTCAAAAATGAATAACAAATTACGATATACCACAATTAAACAATCAATCCAGTATCATAATGATTGTGGTTTGTTTTTTTAAAAAGCGATTTGTATCAAAAACTTCACTGCGGTTACAACCCAGTGACGTTAGCATACTTCGTTGAAAGAAACGCTAACCTGACAATAAACTTTAGTTGGCTAGCTCCCAGTTGGAAGGTTCGGAGTTCAAGAAGACATAACTCGTTGAGTTACATCATTTAGGTCATTAGATTTATGTTCATTGACTAAATTGTATCACGACTATGGTGAAAACTAAAGGCTTTGGATTTTCTTTTTCCTGGGATCATGAATGTACACTGGTTAAAGGTCTTAAACTTTATGAATTTCTCCAGATTGGTGAATATTATCCAGCTAGTAACAATCTGCAATAGAGGCTATCTCTTTACCAAATGATTTTATTATATTTAATAAACTACAAAATTTACCTGTACTGATTAGTTCAATAAAAACTATTATTCTAAGTTAGTGCTAAGTGCTGTATAATGTACTTTTGATAATTAAAATGATCTCTTTTGCACCTTTACTGAAATGCAGAACCAGATAGCATTAAACAGAAATTACTTAATAAACCTTCTGTTGTTGACAAATTTAAGCCTAACTATTCCTAAAATGTTTAGACCCAATATCACGCTATTTATGTACTTAACAGACCAATAAGAATACTAGCTATGGATAATAAGTAACAATACCGAATTCGCGTTATAACTTCATAGAGTATAACTAGTTTGCATTCGATGAACTGAAGGTTATTAATCCAAGACAGCTTACTTTTGTAAATTAAGATGACCATTTATGCAATAATTAATATTTACGTAGTATAAATTAATAGACAAATTTAGAATAATACGACTGTAAAAATGTGTATCAATGGTAGTGAATATATTTCCTTAGGACCCGTTATCAGTACCTCTACATCAGACATATTTGTTTTGTGGAGTATTGCTGTATAACGAACAGATGAGAAAATAAGAACTGGAAATTTATTGTCAAAAACTAGTTAAGTACAATTTTGACAGAACTAGATATCAGTCACTAGTAGATAAATTGTGATAGCTCATTTCCGTTTAAACTTTCTTCCGATTATATTGATTGGAAAAACAATGTGGACTTCATGAATAAACAGTTTAGCCCAGAGAACATAAACCCATTAAAAAAATAATATATAGTCTGTGGACAGTGTCGTTCTATTGTATTCTGTCAGAATAATCATTACACCTATTGTCTTTTTCACCTTTAATGATAAGTGAAGTATATCATATCTGACAGTTTTTGAACTTGCCAATTTAAATATTGACTGGTTTCAGATTTAAATAGACATGATGAATTAACAGAGGCTAGTTGAACTGAAATATAAGTTATCCTACAGCAGAGAGTGACAAACTAACTACATACGTCCATCCTTTAGTTACTTCTGGCTAAAATAATCAAACACTTGTTTTATATACCATAATATTTTTTAGTACTTGTCTATGAACTCTAAGATATCAATTTTCTTTTGTGAGGATTACTGAGACAGAAAACGTCGACATCTAAAAACTACCCAAATAAATCTATAACATAAAAAGACTATTTAAAGTAGATGCTGAATTATTGGTTATAATTCTTTACTTAAAATCTACGACAGATAATCGTGGTAAACATATTTGAATAGACTGAATAGCCTGCTTTTAAAACCACCTTATAGAAAATATAATTCATAATATCATGATTGTCCTAATTCATCTTTTCACAAGTAAAATATTCTCTGAAGGATTTTACCACTATTGATAGTTTTCTTTTTTATGCTGTTAGACACTAAGCTTTCTTGTTTTTAAAAATACATCCATCATAGAAGTTTTAAATGAAATATCAAATTCCGTATTGATAAATGAACTGTATAAGTCATAATATCAGCTTACAATTCACTACTCAGATCAATATTATTCATAATAATGATAAACAATAAATTTTCTTTTATTTTCATCCCTTAACATAAGCACCATTTAGATTCTTGGATAATTATAATTACGAAAGTTGATTATTTTGTTTAAATCAACTGAATTATTCAAACAGTACCGTTTTAAATCTTCCATAAGAACTTCAAAATTATTTTTATGATGTTATTTGAAAAAAGTGTTTACTTAAGTGATGTGGATACAGTGTTGAGTAAGTTGAAAATATTCCAGATTGTATTATTTCGTAATGAAAATTACCAATATATTATACAAAATCTCTACAAACTTAAAGCAATATATAATAGTTGTCCGCTAACTTATACTCAGGTTCCCAAAAAGTTCTGGTGATGATAGGGTATGACCTTTAAAGTTGAACTTCTTGGAATATTAAATCAGGATATCATGTAATTTGAAAATATTTTGATTTGGTAGGTTAATGTTGTCTTACTAGTCAGAACACATGAATATGTTGATTTTATATCTGATTAAAAGTCATGAAAGTGATTAGTTAAAGAGTTTAAAACTAATATGAAACCAATAATGTTTCTATCCGATATTAACTTAATAAACAAAATGCAGGTACATCCAGCTGACGAGTCCCAAATAGGATGAAACGCGCGTCCTTGATTCCACTGCTAGCCCCTATCCATCTTTGCTGATAA